CAGTCCGTCTTCTATTGTATCTGCTTAAAAAATTTTATATCCTTTAAGATAGAAAGCTGAAACTCTATGTATAAATAGATCTTTGCTAAAGAATCTTATTTCTGTAGAAGAAAATTTTTACCTAACCCTCTCTGAAGGTTATAAACCCTAAAAATATCACTTTTTGATTACTTGTTGCATAGGAATCACAAATATTTTTTGATTTCTACTCTCTGAATTCGACTAGAATACGGTGTTAAATCCTAATTATGCTTTTTTCTCTAGAAATTTTATTTACGCTAGCTTGTTGGTCTTAGATTACGAAAAAAAAGGACGAAATAACTGCAAATGTAGGTACATTTTCTAAAACATTCATAATATCTGAGGTTCAAATTGAAATGATAGAAAGCCTTGCAATTTAGTTTCACCACAATTTAACTACTGTTTAGTTTCACTAGACTTCCGCTGGCAATCTAGTTAATTTTAGTTGACGTCTCTCTCAATTCTCTCAAAATTCTCAAAAAGGTAGAGTTTTATTATATTTTTTCTCTTCAAGCAAAGAAGATCAGTGGCAATAATAATTATTATCATTTAGTATATCCTAGTTGTATGTTTAGAACATTTTTTAGTAGAATAACCGGTTATTCAAGTAAAAATTTCTCCCAGTTTTAATATCTAGATTATAACTTCAGTGTTCTTAAACCATTCAATTCTGTTAAGACTTACATAGTTTATTAGAAGTTTTTCGATTTTTCCATAATCAACACTGCTTTTATTATGTAAAAATTCAATCTAGGAAAAATATAATATTCTGCTACTATCCCAACCATGTCGCTAGCATTAAAACATCGATTTACACATGTGTGTGTGTGCATTGTTCTATTAAGTACATACTGTTTTTGAATGCATTTATTTTTTTATGCTTCAAAAAGTTTTTAATTTCTTACTACAATTTAAGTTTTAAATTAACAATATTCGCTGTTGCAAATTGCTCTTTTCTATACGAAAAAAATTTTTGTATTTTATTTCCTATACCTTCTCTTATTTCATATATAATCCTTTCCAAATTTAAGAGCCACGAGAGGAAAATAAAATACGAAAAAAAGAAGAAGTAAATAAATAAATACCATTATTGTTTTTACAATTAAAACTACCATCATTTAATACCCACATTTGAGAGGTTTCTGTTTTATATATAGAGAAAAACTGAACACTTTTGAATATATTTATGTACATGTGTGTATTCAACGTTTGTATATATTCAAAATATGGGTTATATAATACTATAAATACACAGCTGTACATAATTTTTTTTCCGTTATTCCGTTTATTAAAGCAATAATGAATTCTAGATATTCGTATAGTGTGAAAGAGAAAGAGACAAAAATTAACCGACATTGTCCTTGAATAACAAATATTTTATCAAGTTTTGTTAACTAGGTTATTATCGTGTTCATTTTTTCTTCTATTCAATTTTTGTTTTTATTTGTTTCTCTTCTTTAAGGACGAAATTGTTTTGTTGTATTCTAAAGTAATTTAATTGGGTGCATACAAATTTATCATATAGTTTAATTTGTGAGATGATATAGAAAATAAAGGTGGTGAAGAAAATTTAATAATAGTACACAAAAAAAAAAGGATTTATAATGATTTATGGTGTTGTATTGTGGTATATGAAGTTGTGGATAATTTTTTAATGAAAATCAATTTAATTTTACATAAAATGTGTTCTCTGCTCTCTAGACTAGACAATGAAAATGTTGAGATAAAATATTCATACTTTAACTGCAAATCTATTTTTAAACCGACTTTCATGGCGTAGATGTAAAAATAGGGAAATTTTTTTCAAATTTGTGAATATAGATTGAAAAGTTAAAATATTTTTTTTTCAATTTTTTGTAAATTTCTTGGAATAGCTCTGCGTATTACCGAGATATTTGTTCTGATTTGCCTACATTATTATTACTTCTGCAATACTTTCGGAATAACTGGTCTGTATCAAATTACAAACTATAGCATTAAAATTATTTACAATTAAGATTGAATTTAATATATCTAACTTTTGAAGACCTTTATTTGAAGAAAAATTAATTATAGATATTAAATGGTTCCCAATATTTTGCCAATATATGAATATTTCTATAGGCAACACAAAAATTATAAAGGTATTTTAAATTAAATTTAAAATCTAACTAGTTTTTCAAATATAATTTGTAATTTGATTTTGTACAAATGCAGTAGCTATTGAAATTTAAATTTAATTTATATATAGAAAGGTATTTAAATTAAAATAAATAAAATGAAAATTAAATATGTAAATAAGTGAAATTATTTAAAATAAATTTAAAATTTAACAATATGCATGTATGTATGTGCATGACGTTTTATTAAAAAAATGCAAAAATATAAAAAAAAAAAACATTTATTATCGTAACATAAAATGAAAAACAATATTTTATTATAAATAGGATAATGCATAATTAATTACCTTGGTGTAGCTGGTGGCTCAATATTTGATAAAACAGGTGGTGGTGGTGGAGGTGGTAAACCAACATGTGCTGGACATCGAAAAGGTCTGAATATATGCACGTTCAATATATAATAAATTTGATGATGAAATGTTTGGTGCGGTTTATTTGAAAGCATTGGTTATAATGGGATTTTTTCATTTCATACATTTATGTTATACATATATGAACATTATTATGTATATAGGTGGGTACATATGTATAGATGATCACAAATAATTTATTATTGACGATAATTTTTATACATAATTCATAAATATATAATTTATTATATATGTTTTGTATGTACAAATAATTTTATTATATAAATATGAAAGGTGTTATAGTTGAAAACAATTAAAATTTAAGCAACATCGCAATTTGAAGCAACAGGATTCATGATAATTTTTGGTGTGATGCAATGATTCGAGAGGAAAAAAAGCAAAAGAAAAAAATGTTTTTCTTTAAATTAAATATAAATAATGAACTGATGTAATATAATATAATTATAATAAATTTAAACAATAAAAATTTAGAATTTATGATATTAAAACTATTGACTTTAACTAATTTCACCTAATTGATTAAGTCAATTAAATTTATAAAAATTTTTAAGTTCAAATATATGATACAAGTTAAAAGGATAGTGACCAAATGACTCATAGATTAATTTTCTTATAAGAGTATCTAAGTATGTTCGAATAACCTATTCTTGAATACAATAAAGGAGGTGTTGTAGATTGTAGATTTGTAAAAACTGGTGCTGGACATGGCACGGAAGGCTCTGAGTACTGGACATAACCAGGTGTTATGAGTGAAAGTGAAATTTGGCGTGATCATTAATGCGTTCCTGTGCATTCTTTCACTAAATTTCGGCTGAATTGCTTTCAATCATAAAAGTTTATTTATGAATATTCTCTAGAAATGTCGCTACATATGCAATTGAACAAATTTTGACCTATATTAGACCTCAGAAGTAGGACCACTGCTACAGGACGATTTTGCGTTTTTCACCGTATCAGAAATTTTTTTAAAAATGAAATGGTAAATGCTCAAACAATAAGCTCTGTCCTTTGTTATATGCTAGTTTAATCTAATTTTTTTTATACTTCATAAAAAAATATTTACATATATTATCAATTATTAAAAGAATTTTTATCATTATACTGTAAAAAGATCATTCTTAAGTGTTTCAGAACCATAATTAAGCAGAAATAAAATTTTAGTTTTAAAAATCTCCCGGGCGAGCGATAAGAATATCTAAGTGATAAAGTTTAATTCATAAAAGTTTGAAAACAAATGTTATAAAATATAATTCAAGGCCTCTAGAAACCTTTATATAATATAAGTTCAATAACATTGTACATATAGTAGAATATCAATGAGTTCACAGTAACTCAAAACTTAAATAAAAATCTCAAATATCATTTAAAAAAAAATTATTTTGTTTGCATACTCCTACATATTAACTGATTCATTCAGGAATTGTTATTCAAGGAACTAAGTATGTACATATATATAAACATTATATGTTTATACACATATATGCAAGGAATGTATTATTTGAAACTTTTTCACACAATTTATATGCGATATTAAATTAAACCGATTTAAGAGGTTATTATGTTGGAATAATTTAGTATTTAGTTAATTAATTAAGAAGCTTATGGTTAAATTTAATATTATAAATAAAAAACAGTTAATATTTTTTAAAAAGTTAATTATTTCTGACATAATCCTCACACATAAATAAATGATTTCATTCGAAAATATTTTTTTCTATAATAATTAATAAAATGCATTCAAGCGTCCTTCCAATAATATCCTATTGATTGGAAATGCCATTCTAGGAAAATTATATTAGGATTTTAAAGTAAAAATGGTATGAAAAATCCGATATGACGTGTACGTAAATGTTATAATATTTTAATTAAAATTCAATTATAATGGATTTTAAAATCAAATCTAAACTAAAAAATTTATAATTTTCATATATGATCCTAAAAGTATGCAAAAATAGTAGTTTATTTTACAAAATAGTTTTCTTTAATTTCCTTGCTGTTATTCAAAACTAAAATTCAAAAGCATTAATTAACTAGTTTGTAAACCCTATCGAGTATAACATTTCTAATTAAATCTTGTTAAACAGACAATAAACCTTAATATTATGTTAACAGAACATTGTATATAACTATAATGTAATTCTTTCGTCTAATTTTCACGGGTCGTCATAACAACTTAATGTTAATCAAAAGCATGAAAAATCTGAATTGCTTGGTTGAATTTATCCTGTACTTCCAGAATCAAATTTATCGAAAACGTAAGCCTATCAAATATGACTTATGAACTAATTCTAAAAACTTTAGAATTCTATTAGAGATAAGTATTGGATTAGTATGGACAAGTTGTATGTTTATTTAAATACGAATATTTTTCGTATTTTTTAATATAGCGTGCTTCATTTTAAAATAAAAATAATTGATAAAATGAAATTAATAAAATATACACACTTACCCTGGTATTTGTTCGTTACTTTGATTTAAATATGCCCCATCGATAGTATTGCTAGCATCTGTTCCACCAGTAGCTCCCATTACTCCAGCATTTCCTACACCAATAACGCTACCACCGCTACCAACAACAAAAGGTCCAGCTCTACCATAGTCTTCATAATCAGATGGACAATTTGATCTATCATCATTCAGTTCAGTATGATTTTGATATTTGTATATAGATATGCACAAATACACCCACAAAAATCAATCATTTTTCATCGTCGTCATCATCATCAACATTAAAGGAAGTGGAAAATATTTGAATTTTTTTTTTGTTGTTTGTTTTTGTTTTCATTTTGTAGGAAAGTATTTGTAAATAATTTCGAAATTATCGAAATGGAAGAAGGAAAATAAGGATAAGTTGAAAAAGAGAAAGAAAAATGAAAAAAAAAAAAATTATTAAATTAATTTTTTTTTTCAGTTGGCTTTAATTTTAGATTTTTGTATATTTTTGTTGTATGTTCTTTTTCTCGTTGTAAAGATGCAATAAAGAGCAAAATAAAAACTGAACGAAAAACAAAATTGAGTGACATAAAAATTTTTTTATTACAGATGGCTTTGTTTACAAAAGAAGAAAAAAAAATAAAATCATAAAAAATTGAAAAAAATTTACATTGAAAACAGCCGATTTTCTTTTTTTTTTAAAACAAAAACAACATGAAAGCGATAATTCCAATCAGAAAATAAAAAATGATATAAATTGGAAAAAAAAAAGAAAATATTATGAAAATGTCGTTAATTTGTACAAGCACAATACGCTCTAAGCAGTAAATTTATATATACTTATTACATATTCAAAAAATTTCAATATAAAAATAAAAAAATTATTAAGAAAAAGCTGAATTATTGGCACACTACACAGTAAAATTGCAAATAAAAATCAAAATAATCTTAAAAATTTTTAAATTTAATTCAAGTTGAAGAAATTGACCTATAGTGTATTAGCGTCTAGTAAATGTAATTAAATTTATTGAATTTTTTTTAAACTTAAGCTATATTTGGTAATATATGAATCTTGAATTGCATTTAAAATTTTTTCTACTCTTTTTGAAAAACGAAAACCGTAATTTATTCGATTATAGCCATTGCATCAAAATAAAAGTGTTTAGCATAAGCTTGTTGCCGACTCCCTCTAAATGTATTTTTATTGAAAATATATAACAAATTTCTCTCCGATTCTGAACATAACCCCAACTCCGATATCGTTTGTCCGTCCTTATACATATAATAAATTTTTGAATTTTTAAATATAATCGCGTTTTATAAAAAAGAGAAATATTTCTCTTTCACCCCTCAAACTCTACTGATCCCTGCTTTTCCTCAACAAAAAATTAGTTTTATTCGTATTCCTATCGTAATATTTAGTTTTATTCATTTTCATTTAGAAATTTACTATGGGTATAAAAACATTTCTATATAAAAATTGTAACTCATCATAATAGAAGAAATAGAAAATAATAGATCAATACCAAATCTATTTCCCTCTTTCAATTCATGAAGCAGCAGAAGAAGGACTTTGACGATGGAATTTTTTTAAGTTAATTTCGAATTTAATTTCGAATTTATTATTAGTTGGAATATTTTTATTTGAATTATTCAACAAAATTTAAACTTCAGATTTTAATGAGCTAATTTATGAAATTGAATTTTTTAAAGGAATGGAGTCGACACATGGATTCACTGACAAAAAACGAAATATCTTCAACTTAAATTATGGCTCTTATGCTTAAATTATTTTGCTTAGAGTTTAAGTTCTTTTTTTAATCACATGACAGGACTTATTCGAAAATTTGAAACAAAACAATGCAAATTAATTAAAATATTTTTATTTGTGTATAAAAATAGCATTTTTGCTTTTAAATCTTATTTCTTATTTTAACTTTACTTTTTTTTTTTTGTATCAAAATTTTTCCAAAAATGCATACCTTGAATATAAGCAATACGAGTACATTAAAAATATTTTGTTGTATATAATAAAAATGAAAGTTTTTGTTAAAGGCACTAGATTTGGTCGAATTATATTTTTTGGTTTATTTTTGTTTAATTTTGACAATTTGTTTTTAAATATTTTTGGTTATTGTTGCATTTCATACAATTATTTCATACATATAAATTTATTTTATATAATTAGAATATAAAAAAAAATACATTTATTATTTCTAGAATATTCAATTGAATACTGTTATACATGTACGTATATATGTTTACATATATATATATATATATATAACATATAAGCATACAAACACAAACATACCTTTGTCCATCTAATTGACTATAATCATCATCTTCGAATCCTTTTAAATTTTGATAACGTTTTGATTCTTCTAAGGCCTTTTTACATACTGTTGGTGGACGTCGTCTTACATAGGAACTATCAATATCGTCATCATAAGGTTTGTGTCGATGATATCTGGTGATCAGTTATTGATCATTTTAATATTATTTTTTTTTTCTTTTCTTGTTTTTCTTGTAATTTTTGATTACTTCTATTATTTTTCTCTCTATAGCTTTTTTTTTTGTTTTTATTTTTTTTTTTCTAAATTTATTTATAATTTACAACAAAAACAGCTAATAACAAAATGATTTCCACAAAACCAAAAAAAAAAAAGGAGAGTGGAGCTTGTTTTGAAAAATCATCGAATTATACTTAAACACTTAAAAATCAGCTATAAGCAAACATGTTTTAAATATATGTATGTAAATTCCAAGAATCAGTATATTAGTTTTGATGGATTAGAATGGAAGCAAATTAAATGTGAGTTGAGAGAATTATAAAAATATATTAAATTCATGTGCAAAAATAATATTAGATAAGGTTGATAGTTTAGGTAGATGGGTATGAGTCTTTGATAAAGTATTGTGTAAGCAAATGTAGAATGATGGTATATAATATAGTAAATATATTTAATATTAATGTGAAAATTGTAAATTAATACAAAAGTAAAGAAAATATTTTTCGATTGAACCTGGATGAAAGGTATCAGAATAAAAGAGATGATCCGGATAACAGAGAAAATTATTAGGATCATTATATTATAGCTAAAGCATGAAATCTAATTCTATAGCACGCTATACAATATCGAATTGAAAGTGAGAGCGAATTAATTTAGAAATTATAAATAAATTTGTTGCCATATTTTTTTTTGGTTTTTTTTTTTTAATTTTTCACAATTTTTACAATCTCTTTTACAGGCCTAGAGCAATATTAGAGCTGGAATTGCAAAAGTTGGATGTTGCTTATATACGAACAATAAATGTGGCAATCCTTAGTTTTAAGCCGTTGGTACTATTTTAATTAATTTGTATTGGTACTATTTTAATAATAATTTAACAAGTTTAAAAGTTTAAATTTTAATGTGCAAGTTTGCAGATAGGACACCAGAATTTTTAACAATCTTTATCTTCAACATTTTCGACATTTTATATAATGAGAGCATTGTTTCAGTGTAAACTCAGGCAAAAGCTTAAAATTTTCAAATACATAATTAATAATTTTGTTCTATGACTCCAAAATCAAAAATACTCTTGTAAAAGATTCTTGTTTAGAAGATTCAATCTTGTTTAGATGATTGTTTTATGATTCAAAATGCTAAAGATTCTGGTAATATGTATTCAAAAATAATAAAATTTGTGAATTGTGTGTTGGAATAATTCTCTTAAAATTTTTAAAAATCAATTTACTAATCATTATTTTATTCAATTGAGTGTGAATTCGTTCGAGTTATTCTTTATTCAGTAATTTTAATAATATTTTAATATATTTATTGACCTTTTTCTATGAACTTAGAAAATTATAATTTAAAAAAAAAAAACATTTAAAATTTCATACTATAGCTATATTTTCTATATAAGTAAATTTAAAAAGAAAAATATTTTCCAAATGATTAAATATCTCTTTAAAAATTCCATAACACTCTAAAAGCATCCTTCATTCAATTAAATTCAATTCAAATAAAATGAAATTTAATGTACTAACAACAACTACTTATGTATGTGTATCGTTCTCTTCTTCTGAAGTAGTCGTATTTCAATGACCTGAAAATATTTTTTTGTATAGTGCTATACACTACTTTAATTCAACAGAAACAAAAACAAAGAAAACCAAAGAATATTTAAAAAAAAAAAAAAATTTTAACATATTTTCTCATTAAAAATGATGATATCCTGAAACACTCGTTATTCCCTATAGGAGGATTTTTTTTACTTTTTGTTTTTTTCCTAATTTTTCATTCTATACATATTTCTCAATCAGATAAATTCTCATATTCTCAATGTTGTCCTTAAAATTTCTACTCGTCTTGTCCTTCTTATTCTTTTTGTTCTTTTTTTGTTTTTTCTTTTGCTGTTTTTCTTTTGCCTAATAATTTAATGTACATGTTAAAATTATAAAACACTATAGGTACACTGTCATATAGCAGCCTTTTATTGCCAACATCTTAATTTTTTTTTAATCTCTTCCTTTCTGTTTCCCTTTCATCGCTTTCATTTTAAGTTTTTTCTTGTTTTTTTTTTTTTTTTGGATTTCTTATTATGAAATTGTGATTTCAGGTCACGCAATATTGGAATTTTCATCACAAGATGTAAAGAAAGACAAGTCACTTTCTGTCAAAGAAAAATTTTTCCTAATAAAATGCAAAAAAAAAAAAAACAGAAATTTAATATGGTCGTAGGCAAGCCTCAGTTATGGATAGACTGAACTTGTTTAAAAACTCAAAATACGTAAATATTTGAAATTGAAGTACAGATAATTTGGTAGTGGCACTGACTAACTTTATATAAAGAGATTGAGAAAATTATTTAACATGGTCAACTAAAGTAAACGAACAAAACAAAAAGGTTTTTTTTCTTATCGTAATTTTTATGATAATGAATGAAAAAAGCAGAAGATTTGGATGAAGACTTTAAAAAAAGATAGTAAAACGGAAGGCACTGCAAAGGATTAAAGGAAATAAAAACAAAAGAGAAAAAGGGAAAAGAAAAGAAGAGGTGAGACTAAAAGGAAGAAAATTTTGAAATTTCCCAATAGAACCTTGTTTTTTTTTTCACCAGAAGCTGAAATAATTCAGAATGGGTGAATAGATTTTTTTTTGCAAAAGATGAAAATACCGAAATAAAAATGGGGAAAAAGGAGTAATGGAAAAAAATTGAAAATTTGATAACTTAACGATGGTGAATTTTGATAAATTTTGTAATTAGGGTTCCATTTTTCTTTTCCCTCCGGATTTTGTCTTAGTCAGATTATGAAATAATGAATATTCGTTTTTGTTACTTTCAAAGTGTGAATAAATTTTTCTGGATATAAAAACTTCTTTTTTTTTATTAGTTTTAAATAAATGCCAAAGAAAAATAAATAGAGTTGGGTCAAACTAATGATTTGTAATGTAGCAGTTTTCCGTTCAACAAGTAAAAATACGGTATCTATTACGTTATTAAAATTATTTTCATTTATTGCATACAATTAGGATGAGCAATATATTCAATTTTTGAAATAACACAACAAAAAAATTGAAAGAGGTGTTAAAATAATTCTCGATTTAAGGGGATTTCATAAGGGGAGTTAAGAAATATAATTATACTTTTTAATGGCACGGAATTTACCGTTACCTTTCTGCATTTATAGAAATTCGGGAAGGCATATAGTTTCGGAAATATAAAGTTGACAAATTTCGAAAGTTGATAACTGAAGGGGAAGTAGAGGTGGAAAAAAATTTTTCTTCCAATGAAATGAACTTTTTATTAGTGGCTAACACGTGCTCCTATTACCTTCCAGACTCGTATAACCGGCGATGTAGATGATAAACGATATCAAAAATTCGATAAGAAATCGGATTTCAGATAACGGTAAATGCGCTGAAAAAAGCCAACCACTAATTTTCCGCGAATGTAAAATTTAAAAAATCCTTATGGCTCCGCTGCAATTCATAATTAAAAAATAGCATTTTTAGAGTTTCTGGAAGCTATGATTTCTTTTACGGAAATAGGTTTCTAGTAAATATCTATGTTTGCACATATGAAATTTAAACTTTTTATTTTCAAGATAGGACGAACAGAGTGAAATTTATAAGAACTTTTTTAAAAAAATTTTTTGGAAAAATGCTAAAAAGTAAACAAAAAGATACTTTAAAGGGTCAATGAAAAACTTAAAATATAAAAATATAAAGGACCAAAAATCAATTATGAATTTAAGGACTTTATAATATTTTAGCAATTAAGGATCAAATAAAGAAGAAAAAAAAACAAATTATATTATGTAGTTAAGAAATAAAAAATGAAAGGATTGAAAATTTTCAGATTATCACAAAAGAAACAAAAATAAAAAACGAGAAAAAAAATAGAGTTGACCTTGTCAACTCTGTGATACCCGTACGAATTTGTTATCCTATGTGCGAATAAAGATGCCATAACTGACTATGGGACAGACTATGATTTTAAGTTGCCGTACATTAATTTAAGCAAAATTTCAGTACAATGTATTTTTCAAAATACTGTGTGTGCCAAACTTCTATTGTATGACAGCTACCAGAAAGAGCCAAGAAATTTTAACGAATTTTGTCAGACACATCGGCCCTACTAATATATTCGTTTGTGTGAAATTTCAATACCATAGCTTTTACAGTTTCTGAGGTATAGCCAAATAAATTTTGAAGTTGTATGGCAGCTACATGAACCGGTACCCCGATCACGTCCAATTTAAATAGGGTTCTGGCACTTACTACAATAAATAATTTGTGAAAATTTGGTGAACTTAGCTCAATTAGTTTTTGAGTTATCGTTGGGACGGACGGACGGACGGATGGACAGAGAAAGCTAAATCAACTCAAAATTTGACACTGATCAAAAACATACACTTGAATCTATATCTAAGACCGTTATTTCTTAGCGTTACAAACGGTAAGGCAAATTTAGTATACTCTTCGAACAAACGTTCGTACGGGTATAAAAAGTTCATAAATAAGAAAAGTTTGTGTGGAATTGCGAATTTTTAAAATATTTAATTTATAAATTAACTATGTTCAAATTTTCGACCAAAATCAATTTACTGGGGAAGGTTCTTTTAAATATTACAATTCCTCGAAACTTGACTACGTTTTTTGTATGTATTCAACTCTGATTTAGCTCACATTTTATTCGAGAGAATTATTTTTGGAACAAACAAATAGTAAGGAAAAGTAAGAATGAAAATTTATTTTTCTCGTAGAATTTTCACTATTTCAAAAAGAATTTGTTATCGAATCCTATATATTAAGTTTGGAAGTTATAAATAGCTAAAACTAAAACGCGACAGTTTCTCATTGCCATTTCAAAACTGTTTGATAACTAAATAAAAACTAAAATATTACTGGATTCCTTTTACTTACGAAAATCTTAGACAGCCACATATTTTCCGTACAACTACCCAATTATACAATT